AGTATTTTTTAAATATTTTTTTAAAATACTTTATTCATTTTTATTTTATGTATGCATGTATTGCCTGCATGTAGGTAAGTGCATCCATGTCATGCAATGCCTGCAGAGGACAGAAGTGGCTGTGGAACTGGAGTTACAGATAGTTGTGAGCTGCCATGTGGGGGCTGGGATTCAAACCCGGGTCTTCTTCAAGAACAGTGTTCTTAACCACTGAGCCATCTCTCCAGCCCCTTAACATTTTTTATTTCTTATTTTTATTTCATGTGTATGAGTGTATTAGCTGCATGTATACACATGCATCCATGTCATGCAATGCTCATAGAGGTGAGAAGAGGGTGCCAGATCCCTGGAGCTGGAGTTACAGATGGTTGTTAGCCGCCCATGCGAGTGCTGGGAATGGAATCTGGGTCCTCTGCAAGAGCAGCCAGTGCTCTTAACTGCCGAGCCATCTCTCTAGCACTATCTTAAAATAATTTTAATGAAACAAAGAAAAAACAAGAGCCACCTGATTCTATGAAGGCACATAATCATAAGGCTTTAAATCCTTTCCAAGTTACAGATGGAAAAGCTTAACCAGGTGGGGCTGAAGGGTAGAAGAGATAGGCTAAGCAGAAGATGCCAGGTGAGCTTGAGCAGGACACCAGAGCTGTGTATCTCTGAAATATTTGCTTGGACCAGATCTGTGCCAGGAACCCGGCTTCTCATAAACAACGATGTTCCTCCAAGAGAGGAATTCTAAGACAGGAAATATGGGCACAAAGTGACCAGAGCCAAGACCTTGGTCACAAGGCCCAGAGACAGGGGGAGGGGCTCTAGCGTTAAGAGGGGAGGAGAGAGTCCCAGCCTCTGAGGAGGGGAGGCAGAAAGAATGAAAGCTGCCCAGGACAGTGGTTTGGCAACCAGAAGAAAGGGAGGGATTCTAAGGAATATGGGCTTGCTGACTGATAGAGATCAGCTGGGATTAGGGATATGGCTCAATGATGGGTAAAGTTCAAGGCCCTGGGTTTAATCCTCACCACCACAAATACAGAAAATAAAGCAAAACAAAATAGGTGCCTAAGAAGGGCAGGCAATAACTGCAGGCTCTGGATTGGCTTCATCTCTGGTCTCCAGCAAAGTACTGCCAGAGCCAGAAACCCAGGGACAGAGATACTGACTTGAGACACTAATTAAACAGAAAGCAGAGGGCTAGGGGTTTACTCAGTGGTAGAGTACTTGCCTGTCCTGGGTTCAACCCCACCCCCCACCACACACGTACACTATGACAATTAATAATTTAAATGAAACAGGAAGGGGAGGAGGGAGAGAAACAGTGCAACTAGCAGAGGCTACAGGAGCACGGAGGATGGGCTCAAAGCCTACAGGTGGTTCCTAGGGGAGCAGCTTACAGGGTAGCCAGGTGAGGTGAGTCCTCTGGTCAGAGAAAAGGTTCCTGACAACCATGAGACCTCTGGTCAGAGTCAGTTCAATGGACCGTGGGAAAGTAGAAAGCAGACTGCAAAGGGAGAAAAGAACCTGAAGCTGAATGTAGACTCTGGTAAAGAGAAAAAGTGGAGGGAAGCCAGAGGGGGCAGAATGTTTTCAAAGACAATACCTGATGCATTACCACAAGGAGTGGGAATGGATAAAGGGGAAGAGCTTGGAGGAAAAGGAAGATTCTAGAGTGGAGTGGAAGGTGAGTGCTGGATGGGGATGACCAAAGGTCTGGGTGTGTGAAACGGGAGGTAAGAGGAAGTCAAGATGTCTGTTTGGCCCAGGGTGTTGTGCAGGAGGTGGGCAGGGCCACAGGAGCTAGAGAGGTGGGGGGATCGTGGCACAAGGACTCTACCCACTGTTCAAGGGTGGGCTAGCAGAGGAGAGCCTGGAAAAATGAGACTGAGCATTTGTTTACAGCAGGTCCATGCTGAAGGATCAACTGCAGGTAAGGAGCCTGCAGTAGATTCAGGGGTTCTAGAAAAAAGTGAGCCAGATGAGGGTAGTTGAGTCATACAGCCAAGGACGACAGTGGAGCCTGGGAGAGAAAGGGGGACTCTCTCAGGGCTGAGGTGGCTGACTGGTCCTGAGATCAGGAGGAGCTGCCCAAAAGTGAGCTTCCTGGCTTGGACTCCAGGGCTAGAGTAACATCAGGCCTCTGATCACCACACCCTGTTAATGAATGTTCAGCACCCACAGGTAACCAGAGGGACACTGTGGCAACTCTCCAGTGCCATGCAGGGGCCAAGCTCATCTTCCCTTGGGATAACTGGCATAGATTAAACCCTCTTCCTTCTAGACTTTCTAGAAGACCAACGTAAACTCAAAGGAAGCAGAAACAGTCCCCCACCATCCAGTCCCCACCCCTCTTAGTTCTGCTAATACAGCAACAGGTACATAAGCTGAGACTCCAGGTAGCCAGGCATTCTCTACCCTAGCAGAAGGCTGAAAGAAACCTTTGTGGCCACCACCACCTCAAAGTGCAGTCCAGCCTCCTAGGGGACAGAACTGGGAAGGGAACAAGCAGGCATCTCAGACAGGAGTCTTTCTCCTCCTCTGATCAAAGGCTTCCACTACCTCACTATACGATCCAGAAAAACTTCAAAGGATGCATAAGCTCAACCCCGGAAGAAGGAAGACACTTTACAAGTGAGATCTTAATGAGCTGTGAACTCCACTAACGGCTTTGTTACTTGGGGTTCAGAAGAGAATAGACGCAGTTCCTTTTAGTGCATGCGCAGGGCGTCTGCTTGGGACGCTCCTCTGCCTCCTCCCAGGACGCAGTGTCTCTGTTAGTGAGATCTGCCCAGAACTCTGTCCCCGTAGTTACCTCGCTCTTTTCAAATCTGAAAATGAGCTAATGATACCCATAGGTCAGACCCAGATTCTGTAAGGGAAGACGAAACCCAGTTCTAATACTGAGGCTAGGGGTCAGGAGTGTGGCTCGGCTCCAGGGCTCCTGCTGAGCACCCACAAGGCCCTGGGTTCATCTCCAGCGCTGTAGAAATAAAGACACCATTTCTGAGTTAATCCTGAAACTTCTCCGTGTCATCGGCTGAAACAAAAGGGCTCACGCCTACCGAAACAGCAAGCGTCACGGCGCCCAGCTCCACCTTGCCCAGATGTCCGCAGAAAATGGAACTGACAATACTGATGAGAAAGTTCACCAGCTGTGCCAGGAACTGCGAGGGGGCAGAGAGCGGGTCACCCCGGGCCGGCCCTGCTGGGCCCGCGGCCTTGGCTCCGGGTCAGCGCGCAACTCACCACCCGCCCCGCGAGAGCGTCCAGCGCGGCAGCCTCCCGCCGCACGTCGGGGGAAAACGCGCTCCGCAGGCCACTTAGACCTCGCCACCGCCGGGCGTCGAGCCGCTCGGGGGACACAGCGACCC